AGATAATTTCTTGTATTATACATAATTTTTTACCATAATATGTATAAGCATTTCTCTCCGTCTGCTTTCTCATCACAACCAATTAAAACCATTTCTAATTTAATTTCTTTAAATTACCTATTTCCTCATCGATCTCAACTAATCACAACACATTTTCTCATCTCAATTTTAATTTCTACAGAACTCTCAGAACTGATTATATTTTGAAACGAATGGAGTAAATTAATAACATATCTGCATCCCTGAACATAATAAGACCAATACTATATATATATATATATATATATATATATATATATATATATATATATATATAGTAAATTTGTTTGGTGCTCCATGGTGCCCGGGCACCATTGTTGAAATTGAGTATATACCCAATTCAAATGAGCATGAAACTTTTTTAATTATTTAGGTATTAATATTAACTACTTTACTAACTAGTTGAAAGCAAGTTTGAACTGAATTTGAACTTGTTTTTGTTATATTTTGATTCTAGGTATATAGCATCCATACATATAATTAGTTAGGTATGTAATCATGGATTGTGAAATAAAGTTAAATTTGAGTTGTTTTGTTGATAGGTATAGGTATGAATCGAATTCTTATAACTAGGTATATACTCACAATTTGAAAAATTTGAAAAATTTGAGTGATTTTGTGCATTTGAAACCATGGTGCCCGGACACCATGGTGCCCCATATGAGTGTCCTATATATATATATATATATATATATATATATATATATATATATATATATATATATATATATATATATATTGCAGACAGATCCTTCTGGATGGGGAGGTAGTAGTACGTTCAGAAGCAGCTGGTGCACACATACAAGCGTGTGATGAGGAGGGGTAATAACTCGCAATAGGCTGTAGCCCTGTACAGTATTTACACCGGCGTGTGCTGGCATGAGCTATTGTACTATACGTACGCGAGGACGTGTGCTGTTGTGTACTGGAGTACGTGGACACACTGTACCATTCACCAGCTAGCAGAAGTATGGAATTAATACTCATACATGCACATTATTCATACTCCATACTGCATATGTATCCTTTTCTGATCTCGTACCTTAGTTGAGTACCATAAATGAAACTACACAAGTTTCTACGTACTCCCTAATCCTAAACTATAAAAAGTTTTAGCCATAAACCTGTACAAATATATATTCAGATTCAGGAGAATACTTAGGCTCGAGTTCTCGGGATAAAAAAAAAATCGGACAACTACCACTACTGCATAATAGTACGGTTAAGGATGCGGCAAGCTAGCTTCTTTCTTTATCTCTTATCACTTTAAATATTTTTATAAAATATTTATCCGATGTACGATCCAATTACAATGTTTTATTCATTGTAATTAAATCTTTCCAACAAGATATCACATGATTATATATTTAAAAAAAGAAAAACATATGTTTCAAAATCTTTAAAACTCAATGTTTTATACGTGATAGCCATATTTCAACATATACCTTTAGTGTATTTCACAAAATTTTTAAATATTTCAATCACTGATATTTTTTAACAATATTTAACTGCTTAGTTTTTTTTTGAGAAAATTGAGCGTCTGATTTGTATATATCTCTCTAGATTTATAGCTAAAAGTTGATATATTTTGGTACGGATGTAGTAACAGATTATGGCTAGCTAGGTAATATAGGCAGTTCTAATAAGGGGAAGTCTAAAAAATTGATTTTCGCGCACGATTTTCTTTAAGTTGCCTACTAAAATACTTTTTATGGGTTTTTCTACAGGTACAAAATCAAAAAATTGGAAATCCATTTTCACAAGCAGTTCCTTAAGAGAGCCACCTGTGAAAATTGATTTTTGCAGGTGGTTATGCAAATGTGCATGCACAAAACCTAGATTTCTACAGGGCCTTAGTTGCAAGTGGTTCAAAAAATGCCTTTGTAAACAAGCTAATACCGCCTATAAAATATTTTCTGTACCAGTGTAGTCAAAAAATTTTTGAATTTTGAGAATAATTTTATGTACGTTTTTTACTTGTCTTTCTAACTTAGCATGAAAAATGATCGGGAGCAAAAGTGACGAATGAGACTACTAGAATTAATCATAAATGTCATATTTAAAAATTTAAAACAAGCTTCCTATTAATATCTGGAGATCCATTGAAGTGTTGTCCTATTTTTGAAGTATGAAAATAGATTAAACTAATTTCAAGAGTTATAGAGAATCCTCCAAAAAATTCTTATAAATTCTATCAATTGAAAGGAGTTCTCTATTAGTTCAGATCTCATAAAACTTTGTAAATGATTCACACAATACAAGTGGACTATTCATGATCAAATATAGATGAGGAATCTTTATAGATCATCTTTTTTGACAAACCTCTCTAAAACGCATATAATAAAATTACACTTCATGGCACGGGAAAAAAAGGGAGAAAAAACCTCGCTTGATTGGCCCTCCTGGGCTTCTTCCTATTTCTCTTCTCTTAACTCTTAAGTCTACAACAAGTGGGATAGGCATGATTTGAACCTGCGTATAAAATCTTCACCAGATTTACGGCATGTCGCTTTTGACCGCTCGGCCACACTCCCCTCCTCAGGGATGTATGCCCTCCTCAAACAAAGGGTTATTGAATAAGAAGTATGGTGGTCATCATTCTTAAATTAAGAAGAACAAATGGAGACTATTAGACTTGCTAGCATTCTGGAGAATAAATAAGGTCAAAGCAGCATATAACCATTTCCTGGTAAAAAAAATTAACATCAAAAGATTCTACTTAGACTAGCGATTTAAAGGTTGTTGCTGCACAAGGATAGAGGAAGTTTGAAGTAAGGATATAGGAGAAGATTGAAGCTTAGTATTGTAGATCTCTCTCTCTCTCTCTCACTCTCTATCTCTCTCTCTATGCATTATATCTACCAAGGGGAGAGAGGGTCACGGGTTTGTGTAAACCAATTATCATAGGCGGCGGGATATGATGGCCGCCTACATAAATACAATGATTTACACAAGCACTCGTCTTAGGCAATTGCCCGCATTAATGTCTAACAATATAGGCGGACCACATAAGGTAACATCTAAGAAAATTGAAGTATTTTCACATTCGGTGGCGTTAAGCCCGTCTGGGTAAATGTGCATCTCCGAGGTAGAGCTCTTAATTGCTTGCCTATGACTTATCTCTTCATCTTCATTGTGTCACTACTTCCACTACCTGTAGTTCCTTTGGTGATCATGCGGGCTCCTCTGAAGTCTAAGCGCCGGACTCCGGTTACATCCTCTGGCCACACTGCGCCTCATCACCTCTCACTCTCCATCTATTTTCCAGTAAAAAGTAGGTAATGTGGGTTTTATCACTGCACTCTTCCTCTCTTTGCGTTCTGCTTTATCTTTGGCCATGTTGGGCTCGCCGCGCCAACCATAGTACATGACCACTGTCGAAGAGGAGGAGAAGGCCATTGAACACCGACAAGAAGCAACTCTCCTTAACACCGCCATCATCACCAGGCAACGAGTTGGGTAGAGATAATGAGTGGTGGTAGAACGGGTCATCATTGAAGGTGGATTTTGATGAGGACCCGTCGTCCGAGAAGGAGGGGGAGAATAGTGGTGATGAGGCTGAAGACAAGGACGACAATGGGGGAATCAAAGGCGGTCGGCGTGGCAGCAATAGTAGTCGGTGTAGTCGTGGTGGTGGCTAGCGCGGTTGTAGCAGAGGCCGAGCCGATGGCTAACACGGAGAAGGTACCTGGCCCCTAGCATGGATAAACGAGAGGCAAGTGACTTGGCGGAGGTTGAGCTGGCGGACAACACAGAGGAGGCACCATCGGAGCTAGAGGCAAAGACAGAGATCTAGAAGAGGCACCACTAGCGTGTTCTCTGTAGCTTTGCCAGCTACCAGCATGATAGCTAAGGAGAATCCACCTTTAGCGACGACCCGTTCTACCACCACTCATCATCTCTATCCTACACATTACTAAGTGACGGTGGCGGCGTTGAGGAGATTTGCTCCTCGTCGGTGTTCAACATGACCTTTTCCTCTTCGCCAATGGTCATGTACTGCGGTTGGCGTGGCGAGCCCAACATGGTCAGAGATAAAGGAGAATGCAGAGAGAGGAAGAGTGCTAAGAAAACCCACATTGCCCTCTTTTTACTGGAAAATAGATGGAGAGTGAGATATGATGAGGCACGGCGTGGTAATGGAGAACGTGACTAGAGTCCAGCGGTTGGACTTTAGAGGAGCCCGCATGATCATGATAGAACTACATGTAGTGGAAGTAGTGGAATGAGCAGACAATAAACAAGTCACACGCAGGCAATTAAGAACAGCGCCTGGGGATGAATATTTACCTAGTCGGGCATCTTAAGACCCCATGAAAACACTTAGATTCATCGGAAGTAGTTTTTTATAGGTAGCTAATTGCTAATTTTTGTTGTAGTAGGCCCAACTAGTTAATTATTACTTTTGGTTGTTATCTTTTGTGCTGAAAATCTATGGTTAACTTTTATGTAATATAGCCCATGATTTCAACTATATGTTGTCTCAAAAATATTCATCTCTCACCGACATGTAGACTTGGAGGCAATCTTTTATCTCACTTTGCCTGTGAAAACTGTTTTGACAGGGGTTGTCCGTCCACGTAAATATCCAACTATTCACGGGACAAGAAGGTCCACATATTTTCGTCAGCTCTGTACTACGGCCTCTGCTGGTAGAATTTCATGTGGTAGTAGTATCGTTTTCACCTAAGATAGCTAGACATAGACTGAACCACACACTGTATGCCTGTATTGTCCCTTGGCATATCTGGAGTGAAGTAGGAGTACTTGACTGGACCATACATAAACCAATCCAAATAAATTCAGTCCTTAGCTTTAAATTGGGATCCGTAATAAGTAAGAGAGTCAACTAGCTATTGGATATTTTACTCTTCTCACTTTAATTTGCATGTTCATTGAGCTAACTATATGCACTAGAGAGAAGGCCCAATAATGCAAGATAACCTTATGTAATCTATGTATTTAGTATCAACAATTAATCTCCAAATTCAAGTATCAAGTGTAGTATATCATCATCATGCAAGTACAGTGTTACATAGATTAATCACAATGCAGTTTGATTAAGCAGTGGGCATCATCACATCGCATTCAGAGGAAGGCTATCTTAGATTACAGATGAATATGCAGACACCCAGCTTGGTGTTACATACATAGACTGGATTTGGGTGAAATTTAGCCGGCGAGGGCGCTGGTGTTGTAGACGAGGAGGGCGCCGCCGCCGAGGAGCCCGGCGAGGGTCACGGCCCAGATCAGAAGCCCGGTGGTTCCTGCAGATTAATTACCACAATACAGAGATATATAATTAATTAACCGTACAAGCATATAGGCAGATAAGATTGACCATACAAAAGAATTATAAGTTTCTTAATAATATTGATCAAGATAAGATTTTGCCTTTATGATTTCTAGGGTGTAAGAACTCTCCATCACATCACAGGTTGCTGACAAGACCCTATCAGATTTTGTACCTACTACTATTTCCGTCCCAGAATATAAGAAGTTTTAGAGTTAAGACACAATTATTAAGAAAGTATATATAATTAAATGGTGCAAGTTGTGGTGAATGGTGGAGGATTGTGATTGGATGGAAAGATAATGTTAGTGAAGAGTTGTTTTATTTTGAGACAAATTCTGGATGCTAGAAATCGTTATATTTTAGAATAGATGAAGTAGTTAACTACGATGGACTAACTCAACATATGCATATATATATATATATATATATATATATATATATATATATATATATATATATATATATATATATATATATATATATATATATATATATATCTATTAGATTTGGTTATTCTAACTTACAGCATACCTCTTATTGTTTCTCTCCTTTTTCTAAAAATTATTCCAAGACTTCTTTGCTGGTATGATAGTAGTATTTCATATATATAGTAAATGGACTGTAAAAGAATGGTTTACTTACCACCAACGTAGGTGTCACCGGTGGGAGACCATTCCTCCGGCGAGTAGATTGGGCTGCAAATCGTCGAGGAGTTTGTCAGATTGAGCCAAACAATTTTTGCTAAAACAAGTAGATACCACCGTAAAAGTACTCTTTTAATATTAATTTTATATCTCATCTTGGTTACCTGTAGCCGTCGACGTTTGCGCCGTACTTGTCAACGAATTGGTACACACCCTTCCCCTGCATCCATCACAAAAATCTGTCAGTTTATTCAGTGCATAGTCTGACAGATGGAATCTTTGAATGAACAAAACCTGCGAAATTGTCACTGAAACTTGGACAAATATGGGGCAATTATTCTTGCAAGTTTTAAAGTTTGAAACCTATGGTGCTTTCTTTTTAAAATCTAGCCACCACCATGAAGAATAACTAGCAAAAACTTCGACTGACATTGAGAAATTTAGGAGCTGGGGACAAGTCCTGACCGTGCTCTTCCTGCCAGATGCATCAATATCGACTGACATGCCACCTCCAATCCCTGCAAAGATAAAAAAAAAAAAAGAAAAATGATAAACCACACAAATTCAGCCACTGAAACCCACTCAACAATAATCAGCAAAACATTCCGAAGTCTGAATTCTGAAGAAAGTTTCAGTTTCAGACCGTAGGGCTTGTCGGTCTTGATCTTCTTCCCACCGCTGCAGACGATGGCGAAGGAGGATCCCCGGCGGGAGATGGACGGAAGGCCCTTGGCCCGGGCCGGCGCCACCAGCGGCGAGGTGATCATGGATGTTGCCATCCTCAGCTTCAGCTCAAATTTTTCTGCACCTCACTCTCACTGTTCTACCTGATCTCTGATGGATGGATGGATGCAAAGCAGAGGTGAGAAGCAATGGCAGCTCAATATAATTGTGGCGCCAAAAACCTTTGGTGGCCAGTCACCCACAGGATGGTGGATGGGGATAATGCCAGGGTGCACCAGCACAGGTGTGACCGCCGGCGCGCCACGTGGCGCGCCGCGTATGGTCCGGTCCTGATATGGCAGTGCCAGAACGTTATCCTCTGGGGATTTTCAGTGGACATGAGTAAATTTGTGTTGGCACTGTTTTAACAGGGGAAATTATGTGGTGCCAGGATTGGACAGATGAGCTATTTACCATTAAAAATCAACAAATATATCAAGAAACAGTGAAAGAATCAGTCAAAACATGTGGTGCCAATGGATGCCATTGCAATCTGTATTCTGGAATGTTCTGATATGAAGGTGGATGAAGAACTGGATGTTAATTTGGCCATGTACATCCGAGTTTGGATATAGAGGCCAGGTTTTAATCCATTATCTAAAAGAACTGAATGTTAATATATGGTCACTAGCTAGGGCATCACATTCAGATGCTACTCAAATATTTACTCCAAATCAGGAATGAGGGGACTTCAGAAGGTAAGAATCTGGGTTTCTCTGCCAAAGATGGTATTATTATTACTATCAAGGGGGGAAATAGATAAATTCTGAGCCTGTGACAATACAAGATAAGGTAAGTTATTTTCTTTCTGACTGGGTAATTTCAGCCACTGGCAATTATCCTATCCAGCAAGGAGACTGAAATCCATGGCTAGCATAAATTTTCTTCTTTTTCTTAAAAATAATAATAATAAAAGCACAAACAACTTACTCCCTCCGGTTTCATTTTAATTGACGTTTTGGACAATGACACGGTCTACAAGATACATCTTTGACCTTATTTTTCTATTATAATATATATAATAAATAAATCTATGTTTACTTTTATTATAATATTTTAAAAGACAAATCTATATATGTTGTTATAGTTTCTTTAAACTAAATATTTCTAAAGTTATTGATAGTCTAAGTTATAAAAATTTGACCTCAACCTTGTCCAAAACATCAATTAATATGGAACCGGAGAGAGTATATTTTAGGAGAAATAGATCAAATCCAGTTGTCTGGACCTCCTTGGATATGTACCCCACCCCCAAATCCCCAATAGAGCAAAGCTCCTCAGTATTTACCTCAGGTTTGCTTCCATCAGCAGCTGCTCTGTAAACTCAAAAGTCCGAAGAAGGGATTCATACGGCGCTCATTTCGATCAAGATAACAAGTCGTCACCGTAGTCAAATTTCCAAAATCACCGGAGTAACTGTTATTATTATACGTTTTCTGAAATATTTAGCTTATTAACCTGAAAAGCATAGATTTGTCTCGGATAATGCTAACGTGACAATATGAGTTTACCAGTAGTTGCAAATACGTCATACTAAATTTTTGCAGTGAAGGTTATTTTGTGTGCGCGCAGCAACAGTCGAAAGTTCAATTCTGAAACCTGCTAATGCCCAAAACAATATCAGTAGTAACCTGCAGTTCATGCATGATGCAGCATCGATGAACTGATATCAGTAGTAACCTACAAAAATTCATACATATCATGCATGACGAGCAGAGTCAGCTAGCCTCTTTTTCGTTTTGATAACTAGTTACTGTGCATCTCACTAGCTTATGTTTGCAACTATGAATATTGCTTTCACAAATAACATATCACGGAGTAGTTCTGTTAGTAATGTTTGGTTCGAACCACAGAAGATAAACAAAGATAATGACATCATATTATCTCAACAATAGTCACGTTCGTAAACACAACCCATAGAATATATCGGTTTACAACCAGATGCGAATTGCTCAAAATTGCATAGCATGGACTAGTCCAAGACAACAGTTTACCAACAAGACCACATATTCTGCATTTCAGAAGAAAACCGTTGAAATTTATCCTCAAGAATACAGAACATGCGAATGCCACTCATCTACACAAGGGTGAAAAAATCATTGACTATTTGCTACAAAAATTCAGAATCTCGTATCCTCTATTTACAAAGGAGACTCCAACTATTACGTTGCACCAGTGGCAACTGCATGCCCTAACCATCTAAAAAAACTGCACGCCCTAGTCAATGTACTCATGTTGTCAATTGTAACTCTTGCTTGAGTACAAGTTTGTACCCAGTGTTGCTATGACCAAAATTGCCTACAATACACAGTTGATAACAAACCAAATCTGAGAACATGCCAAAGGCTCCTGCCAACGATGAGATTAAGAAATTTGAGCCAAAAAAACATTGAGCAATGGAACCTATCTGGAAAATGTAGGGCCTGTTTGGTAGGCCATGGCTCTAAAATCTGAATTGAAGTGGAAGTTCAAAGGAGATGACAGCTAAGTGAGTTTTACTAAAATAATTAACTTCTAAAGTTAAATATTAGCGTAGTCCTTATATCCAGCGGAAACAATCGCAAGCAATATGCAGAACACCAGAAATTCTGTCTGCATATTGTGATTGAAGAGGTTGGCAAAGATTATACACAAACGATTATAGCTATGAAAAACCCATCATAGGACATGGGGTATTTGAAAAGAAAATGAAGCTTTGGTTCTGAAACAGAACAGTTAGAAAAAGGAACTATCCCCCCACACTAACAATGGAAGGAAACAGCCATCACTGCAGAAAGGACATAATCATGAGAAGGAATCAGTCATCACTCCTGAAAGGACACAATATAGAACTAATCGACTGGGAATATTTGAGCATGCCAAACAAGGCGACCAAATTCTTGTGATTGAAGAATTTGGCAAAGAGCATATACACATGATCAATGGTAAGAAAAATCCACCATAGGGACATACTGCATTTGAAAAGAAAGGAAGCTTTGGCTCTGCAGCAGAGTAGTTAGAAAGAAGAGTTCTTCCCCTGTGGTAACAACTGAATGAATCAGCTATCACTGCTGAAAGGACACAATCATAAGTTAAACCACGATGAGATTGAACTAACCATTTGAGAATCATTTGAGATTAACCGGGTATATTTGAACATGCCAAATAAGATGGACAAGGCAACACAAATAGGTCAAGGTTGAGAACCTAAGGAACATAGAATGCTAGGTTCACCCTGGGAACACACTTGGATAAGCATGAGATTCATCGAAACTTGTGTGGACGGGTATTTGATGCTCTTTCCTGGACCCAAGGAAATTATGGGATGGCACGAGAAGTTGAAAGGAACAGATTGAAGTGTCCAGCTATATTGAAAACTATAACAGGAACCTTAAGTAGACATAATGAAAGCTTTGATCAAATTCTCTGCCGATTGCTTCTGTTCAGTGGTGCCAGATATGCGAGCAACATGGCCATGACGAGACGATTTTGATTCAATAATTTCAATGTGAGCTCCAGAAATCTGCAATGGTACTAAAAAATTAAACATTAATGCAAAGGAGAGAAAACAATAGGCTACCTATAAGGCTTTATTCCCCTAAATTTATAAACCCACTGAAGATGTCAGATATACCAATTGCACTTTCATAATTTTTGTCCTGTTAATCCCGCTAACAGATTATCTCCTTTCCTACAAAGTCCACTTAAATGAGTGCAGTCTTGCAATTGTATAAACACACATCATACGATGCATTCTAATCATTTTAATAAAACAAGCAAAAAAATCAACTTGTGTTGAGTACTGGAAAATGGAACATATATTCATTTAAGAAAATTAATATAGTATTCAACTCACTAATAGACGAGATAAAAAGAAGCAATATAAGCGTTTGTGCTTGTCACCATTTTTTAAAATCTACCCCTTTCTCTAGACGCTGAATCCATATCAAATATAGAACAAAGTAAAAGTTATTACTCCCTCCTTCCATTAATGTATAACGTGAACTAACCAACATCATATATTAGTGGAAAGAGGGAGTACATTCAAAACGAGGGGTTCATTTATGTTGCAAAAGGAAAGATAGCACCAATATGAATGGCAAACTAACCTTTATAATGTTGTCCAGGTTTGTGCCATGTTTCCCCATTACTTTTGACAGGCCACTAGCAGGAATAGTCATTTCCATATGTGGAGGACGTCTGACCAATGGTAGTTAGCGAAGAGGATTAAAACAGGAAGGATCAGATACCAAGTGCTCCCTCTGTCCCAAATTATAAGGCCTATATTTTTTTGCACGGTCTTCAATAACATACTTTAACCAGTATTTTATTTCATTATATGATCCCAACAAATATGAAATTAGCAACACATGAAAGTACTTCAAAATATGAAGTGATATAACACGCATAATATTTAGTATAGATATAGCTAGTATGATTATTAGTCAAAAGATACCGAGTTTGATTTTACTTAAAAAGGGGCACCCTATAATTTGGGACGGAGGGAGTAATAATTAAAACGAATTATTAAATGGAAGAATAAGCAGTACTTGAGATCAGGGTTCATGGGAAGTTCTGTTCCAACATACCCTCCATATCCCTTTGATGCATATGACGAGACTGCTGAATAGCCATCATCTATAGCCTGATGGAAAATTATCATTGGCTAAGCTGATATCACAAAATTCAATATAAAGATTAAAGGAGAAACAAGTATAATTGAAGTTAAACTAAAATGGTGTACCTGCAAGGAGCTGTACCCATACAAACTGCTATGCGGATATACTTCCAAACCACGTTCTATGTCACCCCTATGATCATAGCCCAGGGGAGTGATCTGTTGTCTGTAAGGTAATAATGCAGGCAAAGGATAACTGCTTGCATACAAAGGATCAGTAGTGGCAACAGTTAGCTTCCCATCTTTCTCAGAATTTTGCCTGTCCACACTGTCCCTCAAAACATCATCCCTGAGTCTTAAAACTATCTGTACAAGAGCATCACGCAGATTTTCCACTTCTCCAAACACCTACATGCAATGACAATTTAGACCCAAGCTATCACAGTAACAGACTCTTTTTAAATGGTAAAATGAGATACCTCGACAAGCTCATCACTGGAAGATGCCTTCCGTGGTTTTTCACCCTTTGATATGTAGATAGCTGCCTTAGTCTTACTCCGCATGTCATTGACAATCGAACCGCCCTTGCCAATAAGACAGCCTATTACCTTACCTGGAACAAGAAGGCGAAGATTCATTTTACCTTCATTGTCATCATTGATCTTCGATTGCAGAAGCAGAACAGCTTCCACTGCTGCAGACTTAGCATCATCGGTGGCCTGAAACAGAAGGTAACACCCCAAATAAAACACCACACTGTAGGGCAGAACCAACATAACTTTAGAAGGAAGCGTGATCTAACCTCATTGGATGTAATGGTGATTATACTTTCCTCTCGGTCATTTTTTGAGTCATCAACATCTATCCTTGCACCACTCTCTTTCCTTATACTCTTTATGGTCACCCCACCTTTACCAATAACCAACCCAATCTTGCCAGCAGGGCATAAAACACGCAATACTAGCTCCCCAGAACATTTCGGTGTATTATAAGCAGGAATTACAGGAAGCACAGATTGGTAAATGGGCAGTCGACTATGAGCATCAGCCGATACTGTAAGTTCAGGAACATGAGGTGTTGACCCTAAGATTGATAGACTTGGATGTCCAGAAGATATGGCAGCATCAGAGGGTGAGTAGAAGTTACTAGATGGGTAAACAGGAAGCTCAGAAGGAACTATAATGCTTGGAGGAAGGTCTGAAACAGAAGTTTCAAGAGGAATGGTCTCTTTTGATGGGCACTTGTAAATGATGGTTGATACTGCAAATAGTGCCTTTCTGACAGCTCTAGCATCACCGGTTATCTGTTTAGCATATATACATTACACATAGCAATTAAAGAACATATATATGGAAACACATCATGGATATTGCAGAAAGTGGAACTTAAAAAGAGTGGTTACAAATTGTTAAGCATGATACAGTATAAAGGTGTGTACAACACAAAGTATGATAAACAAATAAAGAACAAAATCTGATAGAAAGGCATTTAGCTTCAGAGCTGCATTTACTGAACAGATTGTAGGTATTCAAAATATTGTACTGGCATGTTGTAACTAATAAGATCTTTATTCTTTTTATATGTGTTGGTGGTGACTGCAAGCTTTACACCAATCCTCTCACTCCATAAGTTATATGGCTCTGAATAAACTTAGGCATGTATATTGTTTGCAGGATCTTTTCTTTAAAAAATGGATTCCTCGCAAATGTCTATACGTAGGTGGCTAATTGATCTTATGCAATGATGTATACAATTTCATGTTCGAGCGTAACTAAGTTTTACATTTTTAAAATTTACAATTTATAGCATATTTGTTTGGCAAATGCCATAATGCATGGTCACTCACAAACAAAGAATATATATGATGATATTATTACAAGTCGTATGAAAGTCAAGGAAATTACTGCAAATATGCTGCTCAATATCCTCAAACTGTTCAATAATTGTTAATCTCCTATTATGTTGGCAAATGATTTAAATTAAGAAAAGTAAAAGATGTGAGAAATTACCTGAACAAAATTATCAAAGCTCATAGCACATGAATGTGTAACTTCATTTGGATCTTTTGGGCTCACTTTAATAAATGCTTTCGAAGTTGACCGAAGCCTCTTGATGACAGCACCAGACTTTCCTATGACACTTGCAGATTGACTAGCTGGTACAAGGATATTTGCTTCTTCATCATCAGAGTCCCTAGTGATGGACAGAGCATCAACAATTGCATCATGTACCTTGAGTAATGCATCTTGTGCTGTGCAAACAGGCTCCCTGTCATCGTCGTCATTAACATCTAGGTTTCTATGCTTGACAAAACAATATACCAAAATAACCCTCTTGTCTGCACCAGGGTGAGGGTCGACAACCTTGACTTTAGCACTCGTCTGTTGTCGGATAGAGTTTATCACCTTGCCGTTCTTGCCAATTACATTACCTATTACTCTGTCCGGACAGAGTATGCGGTAAACAACCAATTCATCATTACCAGAGTTTTCCTGGGCACGTGGCACTGGCCTCCTCTTTTGGTCCCTCCTTTCTTCTCTGTCATGGTCCCTGTGTTGCTGAGGGCGTTTGCCAGTATGCCTCATTTCGTTAACTGCAAAAGAGGATGCAGGATAAAAATCATATTTTTAATGAACTGCAAATGAAAAATGCAGGCTTAAAATCATGGGACGCATTATAGATGAACAGAGAACATCAAGCAATTAAACAAGTTGAATTACTAAGCGATGGATGTGGCAGCCGCAGCAAGCAAAACACGACAAGAGCTAGTAGAAACGCGGAAAACGGGATCCGGTCTACGGATTAATCATCACAACAACAGGATTAGAGTTACGGATTTATCAGAGAAGGATGACGTTGTCATGGCAATAATAGCACCCCCAGTCTGCCTGCAGCTAGCAGGAGCAAAAGCTGAACATGATGTTAAAAAGAGTGAAATTCTACGGGATTTGCACAGCACAGGAGAGGCCTCGGAGCAAGAACCTAACGCTTGAGGTTCCAATGCCCAAATCTCCTCCAATCCGCGAGTCCACGCAAGCAAGAATGTTTCGACTGACTGTCCCATAAAAAAAAGAAGACGAGGCGAGAGAGGCGATAAATGCATCGGCGGGCGATTGAAGATCGCGAGGACGTACCGAAACCGCCGCCACGCATCGACGGCGGGGGTGGGGGTGGGGGTGGGGGGAGGAAGGGGAGGGGCACTTCGGCGGCGAGACGGGATCGAGGAGGAGCGGAAACCCTAGGGAGGAAGAGGATCGAGTCGAGGGGAAGCTCTGCTCTGCTCTGCTCGGGTCGTCTCTCTCCGTCTCCGTCTCCGGTCTCAGCCTTCAACTGCTGCGTGTCACGCTCACGGACCAAGGGTTTCGTTATCTACGACTACCAAGTCTTCTGGGCCCACTCGTCATTGGAACCATTTTTTGGGAGGATTTTTTGTGTTCTTGAGATCACACAATCACTTCATTAAGCAAGAACAGAGATTATATGGAATAAATTAATAAACCCAGTACATTGCCAGAAGACAGAAGCTGAAAGCAAAGAGCTATCCTTTTAAAAGGAGGATTAACTGAACTAAAGAAGCAACCTTTCTGATGAAACCGAGCAGTAGAGAAAGAAGCAAGTCGATAGGGAGCTGCGGCATTGCCGCGACGACTGCTTCCTTGGGTCTCATTGGGCGTGCACTCCGCTTGACAGGCTGGTAATCTTCTTCGGCTGCCTCCACGGAAACGGCACAATACAGAGGTTTTTTGCTGAGCCGTAGAATTTGATTCACCGGACTCAGCACAGGATTTTCACGGAGTTCATCATTAAATCTAAGGAGCTATAACAACAAGCCTGTCGACCAAGGTTGCACAAGAAGTCTGAGCTCAACCCGAATGACAAACCCCCATATAGTTTGACGAATCTGAAGTCCAGCCAACCTTCAACATAAAAGAGTTTGAATGGCCGCAAAATGATTTCTGAACTATATGAAAATATGAAAATATGAAAAAGGGAGGATCTGAACTGACCATAGAAAAGGGAAGTCATTGGTGCCCATCAGTTTGTGAGGATCAAATCCTATCTTATACTATATGAAAATATGAAAAAGGTACAGCTCACTAAATTCTAAATCTAAATATACAAAAATAACACTCACCACTACTCTCTCCGTTTCACAATGTAAGACTTTCTAGTATTGTCCACATTCATTAAGATGTTAATGAATCTAGACATATGACTTTCTAGCATTGTCCACATACATATAGATGTTAATGAATCTAAACACATGCATACATATGTCTAGATTCATTAACATCTTAATGAATGTGGACAATGCTAGAAAGTCTTACATTATGAAACGGAGGAAGTAACAATTATTACATTTAGGGGCTGTTTGGATCACATGGACTAATTTTAGTCCCTGTCACATCGGATATTGAGACACTAATTAGAAATATTAAATGTAGACTAATGACAAAACCTATTCCATAACCATGGACTAATTCACGAGATGAATCTATTGAGCCTAATTAATTCATGATTAGACTATGTGATGCTACAGTAAACATGTGCTAATTACGGATTAATTATGCTTAAAAAATTTGTCTCGCGAATTAGCTCTCATTTGTGCAATTAGTTTTATAATTAGTCTATATTTAATACTCCAAATTAGCGTCCAAACAACCGATATGACAGGAACTAAAGTTTAATCCCTCGATCCAAACACCACCTTAAACATCATGCAAGCATGGTATGTTATTTATAATTTTATAATTTATTAGATTTTAGAGCTTTGAAATGTAAGCATGCTAAATCATAATCCCACATAATTCACATAATATTTCAATATATTTTTTTCATTATTTTCTATAGTATACTATATACCTATATAGTTAATTCACACACAGTTAATGTTATTTCTCTATTCTCTCATTAAGTCATATCATATCAATTTTTTGTAGTCCTTAAATAACTAATCTATGGTCCAAATTATCATCCTCATTTTCTTCTCTCATTAAGCCATATCACCACAATTATTTTAGCTATTAGATGATGTCATCTCGATCGGGTTCAGGACATGCTAGATAGTTTGATCCCTCAACTAACAAGATGGAAAGAGATCTATGATCAAGGAGTCAATTGGCCAATAAGTCGATGTGATGTAGCGAGGTCAGGTAATGTCGATAGGATTTTGATCAATCGACTTTAAGTTCGATGTAAACTCAAATAATCAGATAGATAATTAGATTCATGAAATCATCAGCTAGAACCAAAAATATGCATAATCATCACTGAATCGTTCTTTATCAAAAACAATCCTAATAGATCGGACCGAACCGAGGCAATATAAGATTGAAGTTGATTTGAGATATTTAATTAGTGAGTATAGGAATCTGAATATGAGTTGTGCGGCACTTAGAAACCGTAACAACTCAGTTTACATACCTTTGTACTTCCTCTGCTTACTGCCGTATTTATGTTAATGCCCTTTCTATGAAGCAATGGTACCAATATGCAAATCCACTTTTTTAAGGATCTAGAGCTGGAGGGTCGACCTCTTTTGGATAAGATAGCATAGGGCATGCCCCGCCCACTCTTAAGACTAGGTACCCGTAGACTAGTTTTTACTACTCAAAGAACTTCCCTATGCAATGGTGCTTTCTAGTTCTTATCTGCACCTACATTTAGGATTAACCCTATTCTTGATAATGGTCATTCCAGAGTTGGGTGGGAATCGTTGATAGAAATTTTATTTTCCCTGAGGTATGATAGCGTCTGAACTAAAGAAAGGGAATATGGAAAGTGAATGTGGTAAAGGATACCAAGAGCACTGAATGATTTTTAGGCGTCTTTTCTCTAAAACTCTGATGAAATATTGCATAAAAACATATTGGCTTAGTAGAAATAATAAACTTATTAATAACAATCTAATTGACCGGACCTAACCGAGATATTATAAGATTAAAGATAATAAGAAAAACTTATTTAGCTGATAGATCAATTTAAAACAACAATGTGATTAGAAGAACATCAACTTAGTCAGAATATCGAACCTAACCGAGAAAGTCCTAGCTAAGCTAATACGACTCAAATCAACAATGTAGTTAAAGGAATCAATATATCTTATAGGCAATGCTTGCATCAACTTAGTTAGAATATTGGACCTAATCGAGGATGTCATAACTAAGCTGATACGACTCTAAACAACGATGTAGTTAAAGATAGAATCAATATATCTAATAGGCAATGTTTGCATCAACATAGTTAGAATATCAGACTTAACTGAGGAAGTCATAACTAAGCTAATAAGATTATAAACAACAATGTAGTTAAAGATAGAATCAACAAATCTGATAGGCAATGCTTGCATCAACTTAGTTAGAATATCGGACCTATCCGAGAAAGTTCTAGCCACACCGGTATAAGCGAAGTTGACGAAACTTACTTCCTCGCTGGAGATCAAGCTTAACCAATGTAGCCCAACTCGATAGCAAGGCCCCAAACTTGATTTGGCTAGAGATCGAACTTAACCGATTAGCCCTGCTCGAAAACAACCTGTCGAAAGGTTGGCGATGCACCCAAAAAATTATTGTATTGATATGTGGATGCCCTTACAAAGACCCTGGGTGTACATGTTTATACCCTCGGGCCGATACAAGCCCTAATCGGACATGAGATAGGATTTCCTAACAAAAAAAAGGAAAATAACTCATCATGCCTATTTAAGAGATATACTTAAGAAAATATATAATTGTATTGCCGCGGTCTTCCCGATTTCTCCTTTAGCTCAACTTGATCTGAATAAACTTTCATCTATGAAAAGACCTTGATGTAGACTTGAGGGGGGTGAATAGGTGTTCCTAAAAATTATCACAACTTCATAGCATATTAGAATGATGCTATGAAAATATAAAATTGTATTGCCGCGATCTTCACGATTCCTCCTTAAACTCAACTTGATCTAGATAAACTTTCATCTATCAAAAGAAATTGATGTGGACTAGAGGGGGTGAATAGGTGTTCCTAAAAATTATCACAACTTCATAGCATATTAGAATGATGGGAACTTTCGGTTCAAATCGGAACTTCTGGTGTGGGATTGGAAGTTCTGGAAAAACAAAAAAGTTCAACAGATAACAGAATAAAACAATAGTTATGAACTTGTAGCTCAAACAAAGAAAATGTATATGAATCAAAATGTGAAAACAAGGTACCTAAGCAAGATAAGGTCATGAACTATATCAATTAAGCATACAAGTAGATTGGGTAAAAGCAAGCTCAAGCACAATATGAGAGAAGGTAAGAATGGGCAAACCAAGAAAGGAGATGTGTGATTTGATTCCGGAAGTTCGGATTCACGGATCCTATATAGTATCTGTTAAGGGGCCACAACGGCTGGGTCTCTTTCAATCCTTTCCTCACGAGATTACACAAATGTACTTATCAATTTCACTCTTGATTTCTTCCCTTACAGAGGTGAAATCGAAGCATTCACAAACTTTCCGAGGCACATCACAACCTTGGGTGCTCACCGGCGACATCTAGCCGTCTAGGAGATCTTAGTCCCCAAGAGTAACAAACACAATCGAAGATTTGTTTGCTATGAACTCAAGTGCTCAAAGAATGAAGTGAAGCTCACTAGTTCTCAATTTCTCAATCTCTCAAACCAACTCTTTCCTCTTCTTAAATCCCTCTCACAAATAGACACTCAAGTGCAGAAGGCTATTCGGCTTTGGATGTATCTAATTTTGTGCAAGAACAGTAGCCACTCAAGGAGGGATGAAGGGGTTTAAATACCCGAACCCCTCAAAACTAGTCGTTTGAGGCAACGATTCCATTTTTAGAAAGTTCCAAAATGCATTTTTGGAAATATCCAAACATCACTAGAAAGCAATTTCACTTTCGCAATCATTTTTCAGAATTTCTGAAACTTTTCAGAGTTTTTCGAAATTTTTCGGAACATCCGAAAAACACTAGAGAGCAAAACGACCATAAATTTTTACAGGGAAATCCATTTTTTATGATCTTGGACTCTATGGAAAGCTTACTCAGAAGACTACCCAACTCAACCAAAACCAAGGTCTAAAACCATTCAAAGGATAGGTTGAATTTTGTGTTTCTCTCAAGATAGCACTAGGATAGGTCACTTTGAGCACCGAGACATACACAAACACATCGACGTTGTATCCCTCTTAATAGTATGGTATTCCTATACTCAAATGTAAATAGGAAGAGAACTATACCAATAAAAATATCTCCATGCTATCTTTCTTTCTTTATCTTAAAGAAATGTCAACGCCGAAACAGTTTCACCTTATATTTTTCGAGTGAATGATATGA